GAAAGGGGAGGGGGGGATAAGTTGCATGTTTCTTTGAAGGTAGGTACTTATGTATATGACTCGGTGGCTCTTAAAATATATTCTAAAGTTCACAAATAGAGCTGACAGGTGTCAGGATAATGCAGCCCGAACCAGACCTCATTTCATGCTAACGGTAACGTGAGTGAGGTTAATTTGGTTTTTAGCAATATTGACCACAGCTGGCCTGCACATGGGTTGGTGGGTCACGGTCATCCATTGGTATTCGCTGGAACTTTTTCAGGGGGTAGCAACAGTTTTCAGGGTTTGGAGGGGTATATGCAAACCATTGGTATGATTGACACAGGCCTAATTCAGCGGTCGTGTTCCCTTTCCCATTCCGGTGACTTGCTACCCAGTAAAGGTACAGCAAGTTAGGTTCCGTTCAACTGCTGTAAAGTGAATGCATAAAAAAGCCTGATAATATGTTTACACTCGTATATATTAAGTGAGCAATATAGCTAGGCCTAAAAAATTCATATACAGTACACTCATTACTTAAAATATTTTTATCCTTAGCTTATAGTAAGTGGTGACTTTATTTATTGTAGGAAGCCTGAATAAATGACGAATGGGTATTTTGAAAACCCATATATTAGCAAAACGCTATATAGCTAAGCACTGTAAAACGGGGCTTGCTTGTACTTAAAAAAAAAAATACACAGCCTCTAATGCTTGTTACAGCAACAATTTGAAGTTTAATGGCAGTGTGTTCTTCTCAGCCTGAACCTTACGTGCAATAGGGTTGTGGGTGGTAGGGTAGCAGGCTAATGTGGGTATCATAACGATAGTTCTTTGACAATACAACCAGCCAGCCATTATGGGCTCCCAACATGGTGTGCTGAGAGGGCGGGTGACCCTCATTCCTTCCCTCCAGTCATACTAGCGTACTGTACGCTCCCTCCTGCATCAATACATCATACAAATACAGCATTCGTATTATTACACAAGAATACAGGAACACCACAATGGTCTTACTGGTCCATGTTAGGCAGGTTCTACTCGTACCTAATCATTGCCATTCATTTGTCAAATCTATTCATAAAGCTAGCCATTCGTCGTGATTGCTGGTATATTTACTGTGTTGGTGAGGAAGTTACGGGAACGTCAGTTCATGTGTGACGATAACATCTTTTGGCGCCTTCCCAAAACTGATGTCGCGGAGACCACTTAAGTTAAATTGATCATAATTCTGAGAGCGTTCTTTGATAGTGTCAGGTGTCTAAACTCGTGTAAGCTAATTTTATTAACTGCCAGTTGTGTATTTGTCCCCTCTGTCTTTTCATCCCTCCCGTGCTGGAGAAGGGCTCTTGACCCAATGAAATAGGGTTGAACCTGATTACCGTCCATACTGTTGTATGACCCGTCACGGTAAGATTTTGTTCGGATTTTTATCCCAAGAGGGTTTTCACCCAGGTTAACCCTGGAAAATTCAATGCGTCACCGGGAACTGTCTTATCTCCATTCGGATACTTCAGTCTCCTTCCCAGGATGCGACCCATAACAGTCTGCAAACACCCAGGTATCTGATTATTGCTAGGTGAATGCACAAATAATAGGAGAGAGCAGCTTACGACGACGTTTCGGTCCGGCTTGGAATTGTGGCAGGCATAAACGCGTCCAACGCTTCACCTGTGCCAAGAAGCGATCATGGTCCCTCAGTGTGTGAGCTGAGGACGCTACCAACTAAGCCACGAACAAACTCTGTTCTGGGTTTACACTTGTGGGGAAAACGTAGGATTGTGGAATATGACTGTAGTGAACAAAAAGGAAAACAGGAATATAGGGACATAAATACCGTGCTGAAATATCTAAGCAGGTCAGGACTCGCAGCAATAGATTAAGGTTGAACAAATTTAGACTTATGAAGTATATAGGGAAATATAGGTTTGAAATTAGATTTGTAGATGGGGGTGAATATTAAAATGGTATAAAATACCGACAGGTTGTTAGGTAAGACACACTTGCAACTGTTGCATGTGTCTCTTACCTAACAACAGATGAGGGGGGGGGGGGAACTTCCATGTAGCGTTATTCTGGCGAGAACTTTGAGTAGATTTTAATGTAGGATTACAGCAGTGTTCATTCGTTATAATGCTCTTAAATGTAGCAAGCTCGTAAGACAGGAACAGGATTTTCCATCACTAAATGGGTTCTGGTTAAGATAGGATTGTCCATCTATCAAAAAAAAAAAAAATTATGAAGTGAGGGAGCCTAGCATTTAGTAGGCAAGGGTGGCCCTGTGTTTAGCGTTCTGGTATTACAATAGCCATACACCGACAAAATTATCTTCGCCCAAGCCTTGCTCAAGCCTTTTAGACGCCAGTATCCTGTTTCTAGATGACACTCCTCTGAAGTTTGTTTATTTTCAAGCAGGGTCTTTGACTTCCAGGAAATAACTTTGCAGAAACATTTCATAGAAAAAAATATAGAAACTATTTCGTATAAAAGGAAAAAGTTGTCGAAAAGATAATTTTTCAGAAACTACCCTCGTAAAGTTTGTTGTAAGTGGAAGAAAGACTACCATAGTGTGTAGTGTTAAGAGTATTATTGTGGTGTTGAGTATGGTGGTGTGTGGCGAGCCGTGACACTTGTTTACTCACGGTAACTGCCTTAACTACCACACCACCACCATGACTAGTCTTCTCACCACACTGGCTGGCTTATCCTTAAGGGATCCGCCCCCGGGCAAGATAGAGATTCTGCAGGACCTCGACCTCTACTACATCAAGCAGCTCGCCCACAATTTTAAGGTGAGTTAACCTTCCACCATCAAGGGAACGTTAGAAAATGAACGTTGACCCATCCTAGGATGGTTTGTCATTATAATGATCTAACCTATTTTTACATAACATATAACCGAAAGATTTTCCTCCGCGATACTAGGTTGGTTGTTCTGTTCATCTGCAACTATATGAACTAGTGCTTATTATTATTATTATAGATCAGAATTTACTTGAATCGTCCATTGCTTAGAGCTTTGCCTTCTATGTTTAATCACCGTATCAAAGCTGATTACCTTCTCTTCCCAAGGCGTTGTATGAGTGATACATTGTAGCTTTATATATAATAAAATATGTGTAGTAGTAATTATTGTCAAGGACACTTGACGTGTGGGTGTGTACTCACCTAGTTGTGGTTGCAGGGGGTCGATTCATAGCTCCTGGCCCCGCCTCTTCACTGGCTGCTACTGGGTCACTCTCCATGCACTATGAGCTTTATCATACTTCTGCTTAAAGCTATGAATGGATCCTGCCTCCACTACATCGCTTCCCAAACCATTCAACTTCCTGACTACTCTGACAGAAGAAATACTTTCTAACATCCATATGATTCATCTGAGTTTTCAACTTCCAATTGTGTTCCCATGTTGCTGTGTCCCATCTCTGGAACATTGTCTCCGTCCACCTTGTCAATTCCTCTTAGTATTTTATATGTCGTTATCATGTCCTCCCTATCTCTCCTGTCCTCCAGTGTCATCAGGTCGATTTCCCTTAACCTCTCCTCGTAGGACATACCCCTTAACTCTGGGACTAGTCTTGTTGCAAACCTTTGCACTTTCTCTAGTTTCTTTACGTGCTTGGCTAGGTGTGGGTTCCAAACTGGTGCCGCATACTCCAATATGGGCCTGACGTACGTGGTGTAGAGAGTCTTGAACGATTTCTTGTTAAGGTGTCAAAACTATTATTAGGTTTGCCAGGCGCCCATATACTGCAACAGTTATCTGGTTGATGTGTGCCTCAGATGTGCTTGGTATGATGCTCACCCCAAGATCCTTTTCCTGGAATGAGTTTTGACCACCTAGACTGTACTCAGTCTGCGATCTTCTTTGTCCTTCCCCAAACTTTGACTTTGCACTTGCTGGGGCCAAACTCCAGGAACCATTTATCGGGCCAGGCTTGCAGCCTGTCCAGATCTCCTTATAGGCTTACTTGAGCCTCGTCCACTTGTATTCACCTCATTATTTTCACATCGTCTGCAAACAGGGACACCTGAGTCTATCCCTTCTGTCATGTCATTCACATGTACTAAAAACAGCACCGGACCTAGGACTGACCCTTGTGGAACCTCACTCGATCCATGCACCCACTCTGACACCTTGTCACGTACCAACACACGTCATTTCCTTCTTGTAAAGTATTCCCTGATCCTTTTGCAGTACTTTCCCTGCTGCTCCTGCCTGCTCCACTGACTTTTCAACCAGCCTCTTGTGTGATACTGATGTCAGCGACGTAGGTCTGTAGTTAGTGCTCTCCCCCCCTCCTTTCTTCGGGCCCGTACTCACTTATTTGGGGTTGCAGGGGTCGATTCACAGCTCCTGGCCCCGCATCTTCACTAGTCGCTACTTGTTCCACTCCCAGCTCCATGAGTGTGTCCCTATCCGTTGTCCCCCATATGGATTTAGTGCTGTGTGTATATAATTAACAGAGTAGGGTCAGAAATCTTGCTTAACCTTTGCGAGATAGAATATTGATGCAAGGGATTAACTGTGATCATGCTTTTGTGTAAATGACTTCTGCTTTTGTGTATAGGGCCTCTACTTTTGTGTATAGGGCCTCTACTTTTGTGTATAGGGCCTCTACTTGTGTATAGGGCCTCTACTTTTGTATATATGGCCTCTACTTTTGTGTATAGGACCTCTACTTTTGTGTATAGGACCTCTACCTTTGTGTATAGGACCTCTACTTGTGTGTGTATGCACGACTGAACTAGACCTATACTTATGTTTGTAATATGCCTCTACTTGTGAATGCATGATGACATTTATGTATGAATAACTGTATGTCACTACAGTTATTCATTGATGTGTTAAAGAAAGGGATGCAATCTTGATGCAAAATGTATTGAGACACTTCTTGTTGCATTGTCAAAAGCTACATGTTATTCACATTAATGAGAGTTTTTGCAGATTATTTCACTCATACACAGCTCCATTGTTCAACTAGTGCTTTCGTATGCAACTAATCACTTTGTCCTTGCAGGAATATGACTTGGAGCAGAGGATTGCCTTGGAGATCAAAATGCGTGAGGGGACCACTAAGTTACTAGCAGCGTGTGGGGCCCAAGGATCTCATGCTAACCTGCCTCACACTTTGGAGGCAGCCAAAAACCTTCTCACCTCCAATGAACGCATGACAGCCTACATGGCAGAACTCCAACGCAGGAGGAACTCCTGCCTGCCACATGATGGGTAAGTTCTTGATGCCATGTCAATTTATGGTTGCGTTTACCACCTGCACTCTTTCATCCCTGGTTGTTTTAACTGTGATTGACTTATTTACTGTAATTTTGTCATTTTGACACTACATTTCACTACTTTGCAACTAGATTTTCTCTTATGCTGTAATTGTATTGTCTGTCTATTTTCAGTGTCATATTTGCCATTCTCTCCTTGAAACACTAATGCATTTCTCCTTTCTTTCTTTCTTTCTTTCTTTTTCTTTCTTTCAACACACCGGCTGTATCCCACCAAGGCAGGGTGGCCCAAAAAGAAAAACGAAAGTTTCTCTCTTAAATTTAGTAATTTATACGGGAGAAGGGGTTACTAGCCCCTTGCTCCCGGCATTTTAGTCGCCTCTTACAACACGCATGGCTTACGGAGGAAGAATTCTGTTCCACTTCCCCATGGAGGTAATAGGAAATAAACAAGAACAAGAACTAGAAAGAAAATAGAAGAAAACCCAGAAGGGCGTGTACATATATGCTTGTACATGTATATGTAGTGTGACCTAAGTGCAAGTAGAAGTAGCAAGATGTACCTGAAACCTTGCATGTTCATGAGACAGAAAAATGGACACCAGCAATCCTACCATCATGTAAAACAATTACAGGCTTTCGTTTTACACTCACTTGGCAGGACGGTAGTACCTCCCTGGGTGGTTGCTGTCTACCAACCTACTACCTATAAAGGTGTTTCTAGAGTGTGTATAATATATATATATATATATAATATATATATATATATATATATAAATATATATATATATATATTATACATATATATATATATATAATATATATATATAATATATATATATATAAATATATATAATAATATATATATATATATATATATTTATATATATATATATATATATATATATATATATATATATATATATATATAAAGATAGGGAAGTTTTTATTGCATTATGGATTTAGAAAAGGCATATGATAGAGTGGATAGAGAGCAATGTGGCAGATGTTGGAAGTATATGGAATAGGTGGTAAGTTATTAAATGCTGTTAAAGAGTTTTTATGAGGATAGTGAGGCTCAGGTTAGGGTGTGTAGAAGAGAGGGAGAATACTTCCCGGTAAAAGTAGGTCTTAGACAGGGATGTGTAATGTTACCATGGTTGTTTAATATATTTATAGATGGGGTTGTTAAGGAAGTAAATGCTAGGGTGTTTGGGAGAGGGTGGGATTAAATTATGGGGAATCAAATTCAAAATGGGAATTGACACAGTTACTTTTTGCTGATGATACTGTGCTTATGGGAGATTCTAAAGAAAATTGCAAAGGTTAGTGGATGAGTTTGGGAATGTGTGTAAAGGTAGAAAGTTGAAAGTGAACATAGAAAAGAGTAAGGTGATGAGGGTGTCAAATGATTTAGATAAAGAAAAATTGGATATCAAATTGGGGAGGAGGAGTATGGAAGAAGTGAATGTTTTCAGATACTTGGGAGTTGACGTGTCGGCGGATGGATTATGAAGGATGAGGTTAATCATAGAATTGATGAGGAAAAAAGGTGAGTGGTGCGTTGAGGTATATGTGGAGTCAAAAAACGTTATCTATGGAGGCAAAGAAGGGAATGTATGAAAGTATAGTAGTACCAACACTCTTATATGGGTGTGAAGCTTGGGTGGTAAATGCAGCAGCGAGGAGACGGTTAGAGGCAGTGGAGATGTCCTGTTTAAGGGCAATGTGTGGTGTAAATATTATGCAGAAAATTCGGAGTGTGGAAATTAGGAGAAGGTGTGGAGTTAATAAAAGTATTAGTCAGAGGGCAGAAGAGGGGTTGTTGAGGTGTTTGGTCATTTAGAGAGAATGGATCAAAGTAGAATGACATGGAAAGCATATAAATCTATAGGGGAAGGAAGGCGGGGTAGGGGTCGTCCTCGAAAGGGTTGGAGAGAGGGGGTAAAGGAGGTTTTGTGGGTAAGGGGCTTGGACTTCCAGCAAGCGTGCGTGAGCGTGTTAGATAGGAGTGAATGGAGACGAATGGTACTTGGGACCTGACGATCTGTTGGAGTGTGAGCGGGGTAATATTTAGTGAAGGGATTCAGGGAAACCGGTTATTTTCATATAGTCGGACTCGAGTCCTGGAAATGGGAAGTACAATGCCTGCACTTTAAAGGAGGGGTTTGGGATATTGGTAGTTTGGAGGGATATGTTGTGTATCTTTATATGTGTATGCTTCTAGACTGTTGTATTCTGAGCACCTCTGCAAAAACAGTGATAATGTGCGAGTGTGGTGAAAGT